GCAGGGACAGCAGGCAGCGTTCGGAACCCGAGGTTATTTGTTGCTGCGGCTCTGTTCCTGGTAACCGGGCTAACATAAATAAAGTGGTCTCGGGGAGGCCGGGAGGAATTCTTTGTTATTGGGATGACGCGGTAATGGAGGGGCCTGGGGTAAACAGAGCCATTTTCCTCAGCCGTGGCCCCTGGGACGACCTCGGCTGATGACACAGCTCCTGCACGTCCATGGTGCTGGGCCCCGTGTGTGCTGGGGAGCGGGCTCCAGGAGGGCGTCCATTGCTGCAGGGTGTTCACACCTGGGCTATAGGGTGTTCACACCTGGGCTATAGGGTGCTCACACCTGGGCTCCTGTTTACAGACCAGCCCCACAGGTCCTTGCAGAAGGTTTGCATTTGCTTGTGCTTCCCTTGGCCTTGGCCAGCCAGAGGCGAGGCCCCAGAGGAGAAACCAGCATGACCACTGGGACCAGTCCTCGAGGCCTCCCGTAGGTGGGCTGGCTCCTGGGAGGCGCAGCTAGATGAGGGCATTGGGATGAGGCGCAAAGGCTACGTCAGGGTGCCAGGCTGGAATCCACACGGCTACTTCATGGGTAACATTGGTGATGGAGACATAGGCACGAGCAAGCATCTGGCACTGACCACAATAATGGCAACTCTGGCATGGGCACGGCCAGCTTGCCACGTGCCATGGTCTAAGTGCTTTCCAGACTTAATTCTTTTAATTCTCACAATGACCAACCTGCTACAGTAGATCCTATGGAGACAGGCCAGTAAGCCAAGACAGGCGGAACAGGCAAAATGAGACAGAGAGTTAAACAGCAGTTTGCAGCCATCTGGTAAATCTTATATTCCCTAAGTCAAGGACATTTATGAGAAAATGGTTTGAACTTCTCCTCCCCACCCAGAGGGTAAGGAGCTTAAATCACCCTCCTCAGGGAGACAGAGAGCAGAAATCCAATTCGTGCCATTTGCCAACCTCACGCAAGGACAGAGGAAGTTAAGAGAATAAACCTCATTTTGGTACACCAGCATAAAGCTGGTCAATGTTTTATTGAGATCCTCCTCTAAACACCTTTAAAAACCCTCAAAACGAAGGTCTAGTGCAAGCATGTCAAACTCAAGGCTAATATGGCCAAATAAACGAGGCCCTTGGCCCTCGGGCCCCTAGTGTGACATACTTGGTCTAGTGCGTGCTTTCCCTCCCGGGAGCACGCCCCTGCCTTCTGCCCCACCTCCCCCTCTTTTCCCCCCACGAGGCTTGCAACCAGGGCAGCGGTGGGCAGCAGCAGTTCCTCCCAGGTGGACGCCCTGGGCCTGTCCCCCAGCCCCTCTCCTCTCTGACTTCTGGGTGAGCCAAAGCAGACCAGCCTAGGCTCACTTCCCCAGCCCTTTCTTGCTCAGCTGTCCCAGCTTTAATACATGTCCTCTAAATGTCACCTGCTCTCCAGTTGGGAAATCTTTCCTGCATGAAGTCAGGGCCCCACACACTACCCGCTGGCCCCAGGCAGACCCATTCCCGCCAGGTCCCCCGTTCTGGTAGCACTATCATCGTCCGGTTTCACAGTCAGCTGAGGCGGGAGGAGGGAACTACTGTGTGGAGAGGAGAGACTGGACCCACGGCCTCTGGGCGGTGCTCTCTGGGGAGTAGATGGGACTAGTGTGTTCTTCCTCTGTTTTCTCATGTGGAGCCCATGGCGCCTCGGGTCTTCTCTGCCTTATCCTGCTGCCGAGACTTACCTTGTGGGAGGCTCCTCCTCGGTGTCCTCGGCAGGAGGTACCCGCACTCCTTGGTGCTGTGTGCTGGCTGCTGGGTTAGGGATGGCTCCCCTCTCCAGCTGCCTCCTCATGCGGGAGGCACCCTCATCATCCCCTGGATTTCACAGGAGACACTGAGGCCTGGAGGACCCACAGTGTCATGAGTTTACCCAGGCCCCTCCATTACAACGTCAGAGCTGAGACTGAAACCCAGAGAAGACCCTGGAGCTCAGTTCTAACCAAGGCTCTTTCGCAGAGGCCGAGAGGATGCCCACTTTGCCCCCACACCCTGCCCTTGGGCGGGGAGCACGAGAAAGCTCAGGAGGCTGGGCCAGGGAGCCAGGTGCTATTGCCTGGACCCCACTTCTCCCTTATCTGGTGAAAGTTTCTTTGTGAGATCTATACCAAGTTTCTGTTATATGCCTGCTGTTTATTTAATATGTTTAATTCTCACCCAAGGGTATGTTTTTATTGAGAGAGAGAGAGAGAGAGAGAGAGAGAGAGAGAGAGAGAGAGAGAGAGAGAGAGAAACATTGATGTAAGAGAAAACTATCAATAGGTACATACCCCGAATGGGGATCGAACCCATAACCTTCTGGTATATAGGACAACACGCCAACTGAGCCAGCCGGCCGGGGCCACTATGTTCCTGCTTTAATTGAAGAATCTGTGTTCTGGCCTGTGTCTCCTACCTTCTTATTCAAACCAAACTCTGGTCACCACAAGCTCCTTCCCTCTCATCTCTTGTCCAAAGCCTGCCGCGCACTGCCTGATGGCCCGCCTCGTGCAGTTCCTGGGGAACCAGCGACCACAGAGACGGGAAAACGTGATTCTACACCAAACGTCCGACATCTTCCTCCACAACTCAGAAACCGCCTTTGGCCACAATTAATATAGTTCCGAGAGTATTACTGGGACACAGTAACTGCTCAATGGTAACATTCACCATCAGGAACTTCCACCTTTTATCTCAGATTAGGAGCTTTTGAATGATCATTTTTAAAAGAAAAAAAAATAAGTTGTAAACATACATCATAGGCACAAAAGCAATACACAAACACACGTCTGCTGTGAAAAAAATTCAAACAACACAGAAGTATGTCAAGGGCAAGACCCCCCAATGTCGACGGCAGTTTGACACATAACAGCTAAAAGGCTGGAAACAGCCCAGATGTTCCAGAGGTAAATGGATAAACAAAATGTCCTGTACCTGTACAGTGGAACACCATTAATCAATACAAGAAGGAAAGGAGAAAATTACTGATATAGAACAGCATGGATGAGCCTCAAAAACATTTTACCGAGCAAAAAAGGTCAGATACAAGACAACTGTAGGATTCCATTTTTATGCAATTCTAGAAAGCAAACCCGTGTGTGCCCGGGGCTGGAGGCAGAGGAGGAAAACTGACTGTGAAAGGGGACCTTCGAGGGGGGGAAATGCTCGATTTCTTGATTGTGTTGACAGTTACCTGGGATACACATTTATTAAAACTCAATGACCTGTGCATTTCAAATAAGACCATGCTTGTTGAATGAAAATTATACTGGGTAGATTAAAAAAAATATTTTTTGCCAAAACAAAAACTCAGACTACAGGATTATGCGCTTCGGAGTAGACTGGAATTAAATAAATAGCTATTAAACAGGAATATTTAAATGTATGAACAATAACAGAAAAAACAAGACTCTCCCTTCTCTTAGCTCTCTTAGTATATACTCCTTCCCAGAGGAAGCCACTGTTAGCAGTTTGTTGTTGTTATTGTTGTATATTTTTATTTATTTCGGAGAGAAAGAGATAGAAACATCAATGATAGAGGGAATTATTGATTGGCTGCCTCCTGCACGTTGGACCGAGCCCGCAACCCAGGCATGTGCCCTTGACTGGAATTGAACCTGGGACCCTTCGGTCCACAGGCCGATGCTCTATCCGTTGAGCCAAACCAGCTATTTTTGGGCAGCAGTTTGGTTTCATGTTCTCGGAGTTTCCTTTGCAGATAGACATATGGTTTAAAAGCTAACCCTGAGCAGACACTCACACAGGGCCCGGCCATCAAGAGAAGCACCAGCAGCTCATTCGTGAGAGGACACTTGGGCTCATTCACCACGTGATATCTGGGAATGAATGGAACGACTGGTGAGTGAAGGATTTGAGACACACCGCAGGCTCCTTCTTAATTTTTTAAATTTTATTTTAGAAAATAGTGACTTCTGCCATTTTCTTATTCCGATTCAAACATCTAAAAGCGTCTGAGGTCTCCAATATTGAGAACTGGTATGAGGCAGACAACATACTTGGACAGAAAAAACAAAAACAAAACACCCACAAAAAAGAATGTCTAGTGCCTATAAAACCTGGTTTGATTTTGCCTCGGAATGATTTCCCACTTCAAAGATTTTCACAAAATGACAGCGTTTTGTCGAGAACTAAAACTGAGATGTGTTTCAATTCATGTTATATTTCCTCCACACTAGACACCATGTTTCAGCTTCATCTCTGTATGACAAGCACCTTTTAGAGATGCTAGAAACATCTACCAACCACATGCCTACAAATGTCTGGGTTAATTTCAGCCAGAATTCTTGTACAATTTCACTAGGTGGGTCTAGTGAAATTTGCTGCGACAGCCAGAAGGAAAATTTAGACTCAAGGAAAGATAGCTTTCTATTTCAATAGAGACTAAGTCACAAAAGTCTCAGGGGTTGGGGCCCTGTGTACTCCCTGGGATCAGATGTCTTTATGGGGCCTTCCTTAGGGAGGGAACCTTTTCCAGGCACAGTCCGCCCGCCAATCAACCTCTCTCCCATGGGTCCCCGGAGGCAGGCGGGCGGCCCCGCCCCGAGTGTGCAGGCCTGGACAAGGCGGCCCTTTGAGAGCAGCCCTGGCCCATCCCCCGCACCGCCTTCCTTCTGCAAAAATGTCTCAGATCAAGACAGAAACAAAGCTTCACATGCTCTTTGCAATGTTCCCGCCTCAGGAATAGAATCTCAGGAGAGAAAACACACACACACACACACACACACACACACACACACACAAACGTTCCTCACGTTTATAATTCTAAAGCTTGTCTCACTTATTTCTGAGCGACTGCTGATCAAAGGGCTTGTCTTCCACACTCACAACTTATTTAAAGGGATTGACCGTGCAGGTGGAATCAGGAGGATCACACGGAGAGGATGAAGAATACATGGGAATTATTACGAATGAGGCCAGCAGTTAGACACCGTTAGGAGAACGAAAATAATTTAAAAAGAGAATCACAGGGATCCAAGCCAACAACGACTTCACTGGGTGGTTCTCCGGACCGTTGGACAGAACTCAGTCACACGGGACACCTGGTGCCAGGGACGCGGGCTCTGGGGCTCATCTGGAATGGCGGCAGGTGATGGACCGGCATCTCCATCCCAGGAGGTCGCATCCTCTCAGGAGGTGCTCAGAGGCCCAGGTCTGGGTGCAGCCGGTCGGTGGCAAAGAGCAGCTCGGGCACCGCGAGGGGCTTCAGGAGGCGCGTGGACAGCATGATCACCTAGCGGGAGGCAAACACCACAGGCCATGAGGGGAGACGACCTCAGGTTATGACTATGAGAGAGAAAAGGCAACACGCTTCTTTGAGGGGAGGCAGGGGTGGGTACTTCGGAGAACAGGCAGAAGGTGGCAGCTTGAATGCCTACGAGTGCTGCTGGCCTGGCTGGGAGGATGGCCGGTGGGTCAGCGTGGCTGTGCCTACTGAACTCTTAAGCACTGAGAATGGCCGCGCTCAGCCCCTCCTTGCTGCTGAACTGAATCTGATCATATGTCACTTTGACCTTTTTAAAAAAAAAAAAAAAAAAATATATATATATATATATATATATATATATATATATATATATATATATATTGATTTTTTACAGAGAGGAAGAGAGAGAGATAGTTAGAAACATCGATGAGAGAGAAACATCGATCAGCTGCCTCCTGCACATCCCTCACATGCCCTTGACCAGAATCGAACCCAGGACCCTTCAGTCCACAGGCCGATGCTTTAGCCACTGAGCCAAACTGGTTTCGGCAGTACTTTGACCTTGATGTAGAGGGTTCTCCTTCCCTCAGGGAGCATGAGAAGGTACACCCCAGAGGTAAGTGCCGCTGTGGGTGATGCCGCTGTGGGTGATGATGATGATGATGACTGTATTGACTTCCTAGAACCAAAAACTGGTTGGCTTAACCAACAGAATTTACTGTCTCATCCTCTTGGAGGCCAGAAGCCCAAGCCCAAGGTGTTGGCATGATTGGTATGAGGTGGACAACATCCCTGGCCAGAAAAGAATGTCTAGTGCCTATAAAACCTGGTTTGGTTACGTCTCAGAATGACTTCCCACGTCACAGCTCCTCCATAGGTTCTGAGGGAGGCTGTCCCCGTGCTTCCTTCCTGCTTAGCTTCCTCATGTCTTCACATCGTCTCCCCCTCCGTACGTCTGTCTCCGTGCCCAGCTCCCCCCTTTCTATTAGGACACAGCCTTGGAGTCACCCTAATGACCCCATCGCCATTTATATAATAATCTACAAAGACCCATTTCCAAACAAGGTCACCTTCACGGGTACTAGGGGTTCGAACTTCAACATCCTTTGGGAAACGGATACAATTCCACCCGTAATAACCAGGGTAATGATGAGGCCAGTTAATAGTTATCATTTCCCCTGATGTGCCAGCACTGAGGATGATCTCATTTAATGGTCACCTAACCTTATAACAACCCAGGCACATACAATATTCTTATTGTGCAGGAAAGGAAAATAAAGCACAGAAATGTTAAGAAACTTGCCCGAAGACACACAGAGAGTAGTCAAGCCAGAGTTCCAGCCCAGGCAGGCTGGCTCCAGCATCCAGGTCATTTCCCCAAGGTCAGCGCTCTGGGCTAAGGCTGCTTCCCTCCCCCGGTCCACATGGACCTTTGGCCTCTCTGGCCTGTCACTGCAAAGGTGACTCTCCCTGCTTCCCTCACCGGGGCCTTTCCTCAGGGGCAGGTCTGCCTCGGCAGCATGGGCGAGCATAGAATGTGCTAGAACCTGTGCTCATTTCTCCCAGGTCCCAGGGCTGGGCGGGGCCGTGACATGCTTGGAAAGAACTGGTGAGGTCTTGCACAGGCAGGCACTGAACGCCCCCGGGGTGAGAAGGTGACCATGGGAAATGGGGAAGGAGGTTCTAGAACCAGAATCCCACAGCCCAGCACCTGAGCGAAGACAACGGCAAGGCTGGAGGCAGGACCGAGCTCCGCCTGACCACACTGCCAGGCTCTGCCCCCTGGGGGAGAGCAGGTGGGCATCGCACATTCACTGTCTCCCCTCTTGCCTCCCTCCTGTCCCAGGTGCAACCAAACCTATGAATGAACCAGCTCCCACTTCCCAGCTCACTGGTCAAAACCAGAGTCCACATGCCCCATTGTGGAGGAAAAGCAGATGGGGATGAAGCCAGGGCTGGAAAGGGAGAAAGAAGCACTTCATAATTTCTTGTTGAGTTAATAAAACAAAATACGAAGGCTATTACAAATTTTCCTTCTTAAAATAAAAAGTAGAAGCAGCTATTTCACTTTTCCTTGAAAGGGAATACATTTAATATATCCTATCTAATAAAGAGGGAATATGTTAATTGACCATCATGCCCTCACAAAGATGGCGGTGCCCACAGCCAATAAGGAGGAAACATGCTAATTGACTCTCATGCCCTCAAAGATGGCAGCGCCCACAGCCACAAGATGACAGCGCCCAGTCCACTCAGTGCTGCCGGGGCGGCAGATGTGCAGCATGGCCAGGCCTGCCACCAGGTGGGCCCGGCCGCTCTGCATGCCTGTCTCTGGAGTCCCCCAGTCCTCTTAGCCCCCCAGGCACCTCGGGCTGGTGGCATGAGGTGCAGACAAGCCACAGATGGTGGCTGCCCAGCCATCCAGGGCCACCCGAGGCTCAGGTAATCAGGGCCGGCCGAGGCTTGTGCTGCCGGCAGTGGCAGCAGCAGAGGAGTGATGGGGCATCCTCTTCCCCTGATCACTGGGTCACCTCCCACTCCTGAGGGCTCCCAGACTGTGAGAGGGGGCAGGCCTGGCTAAGGGACCCCCCTCCAGTACGTGAATTTTTATGCACTGGACCTCTAGTATATAAATATATAAATATATAAATATATAAATATATGAACTTAATTAAATATAAATATATATAGTTAAGTTCAGCTCAGTTATGCTTCTGTCAGAAAAGAATGCGCTAGAATCTGTGCTCATTTCTCCTTGAACAGCACATGATGAGAGCTTGAGGGCAGGAGTGAGTCTGAGCACCGACCATGTATAGACGCCACAGGAAAAACGTGGCTCTGTGGGTCTCTACTCACTCCTCAGGGTCCTCAGGTTAAGAATGGTGGCCCCGCAGCAGATCCCGCGCCCAGCGCGTGCTGACTGGCTGTGCCCTGGGAAAGCCACTGCTCTGGAGCCTGGCCCCTCTGTCCCAAAGGCAGACAACAGCCCCGAGCTGGCAGCGTGTGCAAAGCTCACGTAAGGTCAAGGGTGCAGAGCAGGGAGGCGCGCAGCAGTCCTGAGCTGCCACTTCAATGTGTCTTGTGAGTGGGTTGTGTGCCTCCTGAATTGTAGGAGCGCTGAGAACTCTAGAAAAATACGCATGCTCATACACACAGGATCCCGAACAGGGTTTCAGGTGAGGTTCGGGGACAACTAGGTTTCAAGTTAAGAAACACTTCTGCCCTGTGACTTCCAGGCCCCACCTCCCTGTTGGCCACCGCCCCCCTCCCCCAGGTCCCAGGCCCTCAGAACCAGTGCCCCGAAGGCAGGCCCTTCCTAGTGGAGGCGAGGCAGCATAGGCTGGAGCGCGTCTCTCAGGATGCTTGCTGGAAGGATTGAGGGACTTGAGGAAAGGCTACCGACTCCGTGGACAATGACCGCTCGGAGCAGCGGTGACTGAGCTGAGGGAAGCCACCACTTGGGGCTGTGTGCTGGCCTCCAGCCACGCTGACAGGGACTGGGGTCTGCCCTCCATGGGGTCTGCCCCCTCCACAGAGCTGAACCAAAGACCGGCCCCTCCCACCTAAACAGGCAGGTAGTCACATGGCGTGTGGGGTGGACCAGAGCGCGCCTGGGGCCTGCCCCGTGGAGGCAGAGGGAACAGGAGGAACACAGGCAGCGTGGGGAGTGAGGTGGGGGTCTCGGAGGAGGGAGAAAGCCGCTGAGACCCTGGGCTCTTACCGCAGAGCCAGTGGCTAAGAGCTCAGGCTTAGGAGCGTCCGTGCTAAGTGGGCCTGCCGGCCACTTGCCAAACAGATGACTCTGGAGAAGTCACTCTATGACTCTGAGACTCAACGTCCTTGTCCGTAAAGTGGGAATAGTGATATATCCACATCCCATGATTCCATGAGGGTGGAATGTGAACATGGATGTAACATATTTAGCCCGCTGACAGGCTCTAGAGGGGCCTAAAATGGTAGCTGCTGTCGCTGTCCTCATCCTCACCACCACCTCACTCTCCCACCCTCTGTTCGGCCCGTAGGCGTCACTGGGGCTCAGGCGAGGGGCACAGCCGTCCTCCCGAGTGTCACTCTGATCCTGTTACTCAGGGGCTTAAAATCCTTATGCCTCCTCCCTGCCTTCTGATAAGCCCAGCCCTCTCAGAGAGCATCTCAGGAGTGGAGACTCTGATGGCTGCTCCTCACTCCCCGCCCGGCCCCTTCCCACCGACCCCGCACCCTTAGCTCTGCATTCTCTCTGTCCTCACAGTGGGAACCTCTGGAGATGCTTCTCTATCTGCAACGTGAGTTCCCTCATTCTTTGTCTGAAGACTGGCCAGCTGCTCAGGCGTCACCACCTCCAGGAAGCCTTCCCAGCTGCCCTGCCCCTGAAGGCTGACTGTGTTCCCAGGGCCGTTGGCATGACCCTTCCTTCCCCGCTTCCTTAACCGGTTCTTTTCATTGATTCTTAGCACAGGGCTCAGGTTCTTGGAATGAGTCAGTGAACGACTGAATGGACGAACAGCTCATAACAACCCTATGACATAGGTGCATACGTTATTCTAACTCTGCAGGGAAGGAGAATAAAGCACAAAAAGGTTCAGACACAATTTCACCAACGAGCCCACGTATTATTATAGAGGTTGACTGTGTCCTCATAAAAGACAGTGAAGGAGGCAGTGCGTTTGGCGGCTGTTGGCAGGAAGTTTCTCTAGGAAAAGTCAGCTCAGACAGCTCTGGGTAAATTTGTTTCACATCAATTCAACTAAAAGCCTATTTGTCTAGAATTCCCATCTTGAAGAACACGCAGGATTGCACTGCTAACATTTCATTTTCAGCAGAACCGCTGATGGGCCTTAAGCATTTTCATATCTTAGGCATCTTTTGGTTTTCCGATTGCTTTTCAGGTTTTTTTTATTTTTTTATTTTGTTTTGTTTCTTTTTTGTTCATATTAATGGCAGTTCTGCATGACTTGGCTAAAATAGCCCTTAAAATTAAAAAAAATAAGGCAAATGGGGGGAAAATAGGCACTCAGAAACGATAAGGGGAAAGCTTGAGTCTGAACTGAGCCTGTGAGGTAGTAGGCGTACATTTTACAAACACAGTCATCAAATGTGCGACATTAGGCAAATTGATGCTAGAGAATTTCCTCCAGAGAATCGGCTTCTCCCAGGCGCCCGAGGGATCCTCTGTGAGGTGGGGGCACCAGGGTTCCCCGAGAGCCTCAGCCGTGGGCTCCAGGAAGGCCAGACTCTGGCGGGAAGAGGGATGCTTCCGCCTTGGTTCTCAGCCTGCCCCGGGCTCTGGGGGAGCAGCCAACGCTGGGAGAGAACCCCTTCTCTCCTCGCCCCACTTCCGCGGGCCATCGCTATGATTTGCAGGTGCCAGCAGCCTCCAGTTCTATTTCTTCAAAACAGCAGAAACAGGGCAGTGCCGGACGTAGATCCCACAGCCCTCTCATTTCTCACGTTGTGAGTGGAAAGGAGCAGGGGATACAATTTTTCTTTCTCGGTTTCCTTTTAAACTTGGGAGACTCTTCCCAGGAAAAGTACCCCAAGGAAGCACATGCCCAGATGATGGATTGGTCTTGGGCACATCTCAAATTCAAGGTCCTGTACATATTCACACACTCACATGCACATGAGAGCTCTGAGGAGGCCGATTTGGATGTGTCTAGAGGAAGCAGAACAGTCATAACAATGAAGCTCGTGAGATGCAAGGATAAGGTGACCAGACATCCCACTTTTGGTGGGACAGTCCCGATTTTTTACAATTTGTCCCTCGTCCCGCGGTGTTTTAAAAAAGTCCCAATTTTTGGAAAGATTCTTTTAAATCTTTTGGATTTTTTAAAAATGCTGTGGGACACGGCACAAATTGTTAAAAATCAGGACTGTCCCGCCAGAAGCGGGACATCTGGCCACCTTATCAAGGAGGCTGCCTGTTGGGGGAGGGACAGATCCTCGTCACTGGGACGCTCCAGCGGAATTAAAAGGCTGGATATTAGAGACAGAGGGTGTTAGACACGCATATTGTCACTGTGTTTCGCAGGCCGATCCCAATCACCCTCTTGGCGGCCACGCGTGTCTTTGGGAGCCTGCGGTGCACAGACTTGGTGTGGCTCACACGCACTCCCAGGCAGTGAGTCCGGGCAGAGGCCGCTCCAGCCTGTGCGCGCCTGTGTGCAGCTGGGCAGCCAGGCCTGGCTCTGCCCTCCCAGCAGCTGGGAGCTGCTCATGCCCAGGTCGGGCAGAGTCAGCGGTGGTGGGGCCTGCACAGCTGTGAGTCCATCCAGCGCTGAGAAAGGGAGCGCTGCCTCCACAGGTGTCACCCAGCAAACACCCAGGGGCCCGCCTCCTTTCAACCACCTGGAGAGGAGGCGGGTGATTGAGGACTCCTTGCTGGAGTCTTCCTTCGCCGGTGAACTCTTCGGGGAGCTTCGCACACAGGACAAGTGGCGGTGAGGCCTCTCCGAGGCCCAACATTCCCGAGAGCTCGTTGTGCAGATGACCGGGCCCAGGGTCGGAGGCAGCAAAGCCACCGCGGACCCCGGTCGCCGTTGTCAACCTCAGGCCGCTCGGCTCTGACACGCCTGCACTTGATCCCTTTGGAGAGGGATTAGCATGCCTGTCAGGCTGCCACAATGCATGGCTGCTCTGAAGAGCTAGGAATGTGGTTCACCGTGTGAGGGGCAGGGAGACGCGTGCTTTCTGATGAAAATAAAAGGCATGCTGAAAATAATCGCTCGCTAAGCAGATCCTCAACCCTGCTGCTGACAGAGGGGGTGTTACATGAGGCAGAACCTACCACGTTATCAGAAACATCACCAGCTCTACCCATGACAGGGACAGTAACAGCAGAGATGGTCACAGCCAATGACTGGTCACGCCTCTGCTCAAGAACCTGCTGTGGCTCCCTAGATACCTGGTCCCCTTTCTCAGCTGGAGTCTGGTATGGAGACTTGTCTGGAGGCCAAGAGGGACCAGGTCTTCTCTGCCTCACCAGGTGGCCCACGCCAGCACCACCGATCCAGTCTTCCTGCAGCCAATCGTGTCATCAGACCACAGGGCCTATGGGGCTCCTGCCACCTGCTCAGGCCTGGGAGGCATGGCCTGTGTCCTCAGCCTAGTGGTTGATAATAGCTGTAGCCGCCATTCACCCAGGGTGATGTCCCAGGCCCTCCCCACTTATCTGACTCACAGCCACCTCATTTTCCTAAAGGTGAAAACTGAGGGCCCCTCTCTCCTGATCACCTGGCTAGTGAAAGGCAGAGGTTAGATCCAAACTCAGGCCTGTACAACCAAGAGGTCTGTGTTCTTAACCACCCGCCACTTATTTGGAGAGTAGGATGGGACCCGACAAGAGGCTATACTCATTGTTGTCCTGACAATGCACTTTCCCCAGCTCCTCCAGCCGGGCCCTCAGGCTGCCACGGAGGCAGCGGTCCTGGGAGTTACCCTCACTCGTCTGGGGCCCGGAAAACTCAGCGCTGGCGGACACCGGAGGACACATGCAGGAACTGGGGATAGGATAACAGCGTGTCGGCCCTTGGAGCCCAGAGGCAGAAGACCCTCACAGGGAGGCTGGCTGGCAGAGGAGGAGGACATGGGAGGGAGCAGGTGGGAGAGAAGCGGGGATGACGATGGGAGTGCTGGGAAGTCTGATGAAGGGCCCATGTCCCCCTTCCCACTCCTGCCCCAGGACTCATAACACCGAGAACTCCGACTGGTACCTGGGTTCCTGGCTTCAGGGTCGGCACAAGGTCTTTGACCATTTTGGCTTCAGAGACTGTGACTCCGCCCACCACAAAGAGGATCAAGAGAGGGTGGTCACTGGGATGAGGCCGGCTCACCTGCAAAACAGACACCACCCATTAGTGATCAGAGCGATCAGAGCGTTAGAGGCTGGTGAACCCAGGGACCAGCAAATGTACACATCCGCTTATTACATCCCTCCAAGTATTTTAAAAAAATGTATTTTATTGATTTTTTACAGAGAGGAAGGGAGTGGGATAGAAAGTTAGAAACATCGATGAGAGAGAAACATCAATCAGCTGCCTCCTGCACACCCCCCACTGGGGATGTGCCCGCAACCGAGGTATGTGCCCTTGACCAGAATCAACCTGGGACCTTTCAGTCCGCAGGCTGATGCTCTATCCACTGAGCCAAACCGGTTTCGGCTCCAAATATTTTATTGAAAGAAAATTTCAAGGAGAGGGGGCTCTTAAATAAGAAGAGAAGATGGAGGGGCACCTCATTCCTTCCTTATCGGTCTCCCGCTCTCAGCATACACGTGGCCCTTCTTTGTTACACAGGTCTGTTTACTTCCTAGGAAGCACCTGCCACAGTCTGGGGGTCACCTGCTTGTGGCTGTCTCCTCTAGTAGAACAGAAACTCCACAAGACGGACCTTGCCTGCCATTCCAGCTGAATTCCCAGCTTAGTGCAATTTCCGGCACACAGTAGGTGCTCAATAACTATCTATGGAATTGACGAGTAGGTGTTGGTGTGAAAAGATGAAAGAGACTGGCATCCACCCTCCAGGAGTGACATATGGTCTAGTGCAGACTTCACACCCTTTTCTCCTGCACACCAGCCTCAGCTGAGGACTGACTCTACACCACGCATGTCAAACTCGCAGCCTTGGGCCGCATGCTTCGTTTATTTGGCCCATGTTAGCCTTTGAGTTTGACATGCTTGCTCTACCTGGACCACTGCACCAGGGGCTGTGGAGAATTCCTCCTGGTGCCTTCCAGTTTCACCAATGAGCCAGTGTTATTATAAACTAAAACGAGAGTTGCTACCTCTCAGGAAATGCGAAATGAACAACAGGTTGACTTAGTGACTAACTGAAGGAACAGTACGTTTGAGCCCCATCTGGAAGCCAGAGTTGGTTGGCTGAGGAGTGGCAGGAGAAGGGGAAGGGGTGGGAGCTGCGTTTCGGAGGCGAGCAGTCACCCGCTGGGTGGAGCAGGCGGAGGCCCAGCCAGGACTCGGGGAGCCGGGCATCCCCACAGGAAGGATGCTGCCGACTGCGCACATGGCCACGGAAGCCAGAGGTGGGAGAAACAGGCTTCGGTCCCAGGGGCGGAGAGTGCATTCACTCTTCACACTGGCTAATGCGCAAGCCCCGCCGGGGCCATTGGACAATCCCCAGGAGCAGTGGGCAGGGCACGCTGACAGGGAGCCCTTTCTCTTATCCCTGCTCCAACCTCTTTCTCTCTTGGGTTCCTCTGGCTACCTTCCCTGAACATACTCACTTTTCAACATATTATTGTAAAAACACAAAGAGAAATACGGTAAGTGCTTTCCATTAGGTAAGCTACTCCTTGGCTTCTGGAGAGGAAATTCAGACTGGAGAAGAAGGAAGGAAGGAAGGAAGGAAGGAAGGAAGGAAGGAAGGAAGGAAGGAAGGAAGGAAGGAAGGAAGGAAGGGAGGGAGGAGGGACGAGGGAGGGAGAGTGCAGAGCTGTATCTCTAATCTTTTCCAAAGTGAGTGGTGGTGAATCAATGCTGAGAAAAGTTAGGAAACCTCTGATCGTTAGAGAAAAACTGTCACTCCTCTCCCCTGGCTTCCTGCACATAGACCTCCTTCCTCTTGACTGCATTTGTTGATTTCTTTTTTCTAACCCACGCCCCATACACGTGACAGTCCTGCTGTGTCCCTGCCCCTGGGACTGCTCTCCGTGAAGTCACCAATGCCCATCATACATAGAAGTCAATGGACACTTCGTCTTCATGTCACTGGCCATTTCTGTGCCATTTGTTACAGATGATGACATCTTTCTTGGCCATCACAGTACCACCCTCCCAGCTGTTCCTTCTACCTTTGTAATGGTTTCTTCTCAAATGTCTTCATAGGTTCAATTTTTTTATTTTTATTTTTGGCCTGCCCCACTAAATGTTGATGTTTCTTGGGGTCCATCTCTGGCCCCTTGCTCTTTTCACTTATATGTCATCCCTGAAGGACTTCATCTATTCCTCTGCCTTCCACAATCTTTTATGTATTTCCCAAATCTCTGTCTTTATCAATAAACATCTCTATTGAGTTTCTGGAAGACTCCAGGATCCCTCAACTTAACAGGTCTCACGTTTGATGCACGGTCCCCCCTTGGTCTATTCCTCCTCCTCACTTCCTAACAGCATCACCTCCTTACAGTCACCGGAATCAGATACCCGAGAGTCAGCATAGACTTGCTGTCTCTTTCATGTCCCAGATCAAGTCCTGTCCATTCTGCCCCCTCACATTTAACCGTCTCTCCTTGATTCACACTGTCCCTATCCTGGTCAGGCTCTCATTCCTTCCTCACTAGGTCACTGCCAGCATAACTCATCTCTGTCCCTGGCCTGGCTTCACCACCCATTCTCCTCATTCCTGCTTGAGGAAGCTTTCTAAAATGCAAATATTTATTACTGAATATAGTGCCTACCATACTAACCATTTTTGTGTATGGTCTTATTCAATTCTCAAAACATCCGTAGGAAGCAGACAAAATCGCTGGTGTATTTTTTGGATGAAGGGCTTGACGTTTCACACAGTGACGCTGTGACTAAATCGTGGGACCAGAGGACAAAGTCCAGAAGTCACAGCCTGACGCCCCTCAGCTCTAACGCATGCTCACATCCTCTCCAAACAGTCTCAGAGTTCTGAGGCTGAAGTTCAGACTCCTTACTTTAGTATTTAATAAGGTTGTTATGACACAGCTTTGCTTTGTGTTTCTATTTTTATCTCCTCCACACACGCTAATTGCTGGAGCAATTCACAATAAACTGAGATTTGCCTAAATGCATGGTATTTGCTTGTTTATCTGTTTTGGAACATTTTGTCAAACATATGACACTTCACTCAACATTTGTACTGAAAAGAGCATTTAACACAAGTGCTCAAGTCAATTTATTTCACAAAGCAAACCAACTGGTGTGATCAGCACCCAGATCCCGAAACAGAAAGCCAGCGCCCTGGAGACCCTCTACGGCCCCTCCTGTCATTCCCTCACGAGGGAACCGACATCTTGACTCATAACAATTCAACACTGTACCTTGCCTTTTTCACTCTACTACACCCTGAGAGTGTCCTGTATTAATAGGAAAGACCTGCCTCCCATAGGCATTGGTTGGGACCATTGGTGGGTCTTGGCCTCTCTCTGCACCCCTGATGGCCCAGCTATTAAAGACTTTGAACATCACCTGCATCATATTGTTTTATGTAGCAGACATAGTTTCCTCTGGGTAGACTATTCTCACCTCCTCTTCTTTACCTCCTTCCCACATACTCTCTTTAAAAAGCACCTTCTCCCTACCCATCTCTCAACTCCTGTCCCAGCATCTAACTCTAAGGTACCTCTCTGCCTTAGCCGTGTCCACTGGACTGCTTGCTACCTGGATATACTTGCTGTCTCTGCTCCTAGATCACATGTGTCAAACACAAGGCCCTCGGGCCAAATCCGTCCCGCCAGGCCTTGCAATGTGGCCCGCACCGCGCTGTCATCACTGCACTCCGCTGCGTTTCCATCACAATGACAGTTTATGACTGTTCAGTAAACCATTCGGCCCGCAATTTAGGCTGGATTTTAGATTTTGGCCCCTTCTCTGATTGAGTTCGACACCCCTATCCTAGATTGTAAGATGCTAGAGTAGGGACTGATCATAGTTACCTTGGTATTTTTGGCTTTGAGCATAGACCTAGTTTATGGTAACCTTCCCCCGCCCCAATATATTTTTATTGATTTTTTTTTTTTTTTTTTTACAGAGAGGAAGGGAGAGGGATAGAGAGTTAGAAACATCGATGAGAGAGAAACTTTGATCAGCTGCCTTCTGCACACCCCTTACTAGGGATGTGCCTGCAACCAAGGTACATGCCCTGGACCTGAATCGAACCTGGGACCCTTCAGTCCACAAGCTGACGGTCTATCCACTGGGCACACTGGTTAGGGCTATGGTAACTTTCAACAAATGTTGCATAAACAAAGCCAATGCACGCACGAATGAGAGCCACGGGCTAACCGGAGATGACCCTCTTCTCTTAGAAATCTTTTAGAGATTCTCTTTGCCTTATGTGTGGTTCTTCCCGGCTCACTGACCCGAAGTTCCGTCCAGCCCTACAAACAATTGCTGTTTCTCCTTAACCCTGGGACAGAAATAAAGTGAACGGCATGTTCCCAAAGACATGTGCTTTCCATGAGCGAGTCTGGATGCTGGAAGCACATACACTGCTTGAAGGATGCATTGAGAGATGAAAAGGAAAAGAATAAATGAACAGCAACAACAAAGAACAATACCCCGGGGCCAGGGGGAGGAGAGAGTGTGGATTTTGGTACAAAGAGACGGGTCTGATTAATGCATGTTGCTGTTTGCTATTTTGGTTTCTGTTTAGATTTATGTTTTGATAACAGACTTTCCTTTTAGAACACGTCAAGTCAGCAGGCGATTGGGCGGTGGAGTCTCTTCTATCAAAATAGCACGTTTTATGATGCGCCACGCACGGCTGGGTCGCCTTCTTTGGAGATGAAAGATTTAAGCATTGTTACTGCCACTGCAAAGGTACAGATTAATCAAGCCAGTCAGGCCATCTGCTCTTTTTATTATTATTATTATTTTTTTCATCTTCCAAACTTGCGTTGGCTGTGACTTTAAGACCTTGGTTCTGGTCAGATAAGACCATTTCTTCCCACCATCCATGCCAGCCTTTGAAGCAGAGGCCGCTGAAACCTCTGCAGCTGTGAGCCCGCAGGCACCCTTTGATGTCCCTGTTGGTTTTCATGAGAAGAGTTTCCGCTGCTTCTGCGTCTGAGCTCTCGAGGAGTTCTGGGAGTGCTGCTGCCAATTCTCTCCCGCTCGGTTTCTCTTCGCTAGTG